CATCCTTTCAAAGCAGTTGAGTCAATGGTTGAACGATTAATCCATAATCTTTAACAAATCTTCTATAGTAGCCTATCAACCCCTAAAACTTTTGATGGTATGTGGAACAGGCCATGGTAACATTGATTCAACCTTTGCGGGATCGGCCTCCACTCTATCGGAGGAAATAAGATGACCTAAGTACTCTAACTTCTACTATGCAAAGAGACACTTTTTTGTGGTTGATTACTAGCTCATTTTCAGTAAGGATTTGGTTGGCATATTTTAGGTGATCGAGATGAGTTTCTAGGTTAAGGTTGTAGATTAAGATGTCGTCAAAAAACACTAATACGAATTTCCTCAAAACTGGTCGAATATTGTATTCATCAAGGCCTGAAAGGTGGAGGGGGCTTTTGTCAACTTGAAGGGCATGACCAAGAACTCATAATGCCTCTCATGAGTCCTCAATGTAGTTTGCGACACATCTTCTTCCCTCACTTGGATCTGGTGATAACCAGATTTCAAATCCAGTTTAAAAAATACTGCTGCACACCCGCTAACTCATCTAGCAGCTTATCCATAGAAGGGGTAAGAAACTTGTCGGGTATAGTGATGTTGTTAAGGGCACAGTAATCAACACAAAAGCATTAGTTGTCATCTTATTCTTAACCAACAACACCAGACTAGTGAAGGGACTGGTACTTTGTTGGATTATTCTAGCTACCATCATTTCTCCCACCAATCATTCTATCTCATTTTTTGGGCGTAGGAATACTTGTAAGGTCATAGGTTAAGGGTTTTGGATTGGTCTTGGAGGATTATGGCATGATCAATAAGCCTTTTGGGAGGTAATTTGTTCGGTTGTTCAAACACATGGTAAAACTCCTCTATTATGGCAGCAACCCCAAGTTCTATTGGTTCAGTCTTCTCCTCTCCCTTACTCTCAATAAAACAAAATATGATCACATAACCCACTCCCTCACTCTGCAGTGTCTTGAGCATTGCTTTAAGTGAGACTAAAGTCTTGACTAGGGAGGGATCACCTTGCAACACTATTTCCTTTCTGTTATTGTCAAAAGCCATGGTCAAGTTTTTCCAATTAGAGCACACATCCCCTAGAGTGCTCAACGACAATATACTTAACACCACATGTAGGGGTGTTAAAAAAAAAGCAAAAACCGAACCGAACCGAAAAACCGGTTAACCGAAAAAATGGTTCGGTTACGGTTCGAAAAATTTTAAAAACCGAATTTCCGGTTCGGTTAACGGTTCGGGAAAAAATAAAAAGCGGTTAACCGAAACCGGTTTTACAAAATATATATATATATATATTAAATAAAAATAAATATTATATATTAAATAAAAAATAATAATATTATATATTATATATTAAATAAATAATAATAATATTTTTAATGTATCGTTAGTAGTGGTCAATTGATATATATGAATATCTAATTTTTATTTAGATATGCATTATTTATATTTACAATTTAATTTAAGAAAAAATAAAAAAAATAAGTTATATAAAAAAAAGGGAAAACCGGCTCAAAACCGGTTAACAGAAAAACTGGTTTTCCCTCCAAACCGGTTCGGTTCAAAAAAGCGGTTAACCGATTCGGTTAACCGCTTTTGAACACCCCTAACTACATGTACTCCCTCTAGATCAAATGGGAAAAATCCTACTTCAACTCAACCTCCAGGATCTTCATACTCACATTCCTACAATTTGTTTCTCCTTTGACTGTGAATATGTTTCCTACCATAACCCTAAACTGATTTCCCTTCTCAATTTCCAGACCTAACTTTCACACTAATTCTTTCGAAATAAAGTTGTGGGATGCCTCACTATCCACCAAAAAAATTACCTTCTCAGTTCCGATCAATCTTTTTAGCTCCAGAGTCTTATCATTCGTCATTCCTATAATAGAGTTCATTGACAATGCTAAGGGATTACCTGCCATGGTGACTTTGTCTTCAGTTTCAGGGTTGGGATCCTCCTTTTTCAATGCTTCCTCATTAGTTACCAACAAAATCTGTAGCTCCCTACCCTACATCTATGATTGGGACTATACTTCTCGTCATCTAAAATAGAGCCCTCAATCCTTCTCGTTTTGTATTTTGGCGTCAGTCATGCGTCGGAATCTTTCTTTTCTAAAACATGGTGTGGGTGTCTCCGTCGATCTCTCTTTGCATTCGCCAGATCTGTTTGGGGTGAGACTTTGCTCGAAATCTGGAGTGTGTGACAAGGGGCTCCATGAATTTGGGCACCATGGATCCGGGTTGGGAGTGACTTAGGTGTACTGCTCCACTTTAGTGTTTTGGGCCCTAAAAAATTTGGATCTGATCCTCTCCAATACCCAATTTTTCTCCTCCACTCAATGGGCCTAGTCAATTAGTGCAAAAAGTGTGGTTCGTTGGGCCAAACGCAGTTCGACCCTGATCTCCTCTTTGAGGCCATTAAGAAATACTCCCATCAAAAGTTTTTCTCCTACCTCACGCAAAGGTGCAGAATGTGCCTCAAAGCTCTCCCTATACTCTATAATTGTTCCCGTTTGTTTTAGTGCTACCAGTGCTTCATATGTCAAACCTTTGAAGGATGTTCAGAACCTCGCAATCACAACAACCTTAAAGGCTTCCCACGAACTGATTGGTGCCCTTGATTCAACCCATTTATACCAATTCAGTGCATGTCCCTCCATACAAACCACAATAGCTTTCACTTTCTCTTCTTCCTCATAATGATTGACTATAAAGTAACGATCTGTTCTGAAAGTCCACCCGTAAGGGTCTTCTCCATTGAACACCGGTAACTCCAATTTCTTACTCTTCCTTTCATCCATAGAACGCTCTATTTCTTTAGTTCGATCAACAACGCCGTTGTCGTTGCTGTTTGAATTCTCACTTTGAGTTGTTTTGCCCTTATCACGACTAGTACTAGCCTCTATTTCCTCCTTCATCCTCATCCATTCTTGAAACTCAACGAGATATCCCTTGATACTTCCTAGCTCCTCCTTCACACTCCCCATATCCTCCTCCATTCTACCCATCTCCTTCTCTAATCCCTCAACCTTCTGTTCCATTCTCGATTTAGTCATTACCCACACAAGACTCTAATATCAATTTGATGGAACTCTCTAGCAAACTCACGCAATCCCACAATACAACAGGCAATATGGCAGAAAAAAGAAGAACAAAACTCAATGTAATTTTGGATCAACTCAATATTGTATTAATGGAATGAGAATAACAATATTCAGAATAATTCTTAATGACAATGAATAAGAAAAGCAATAGATAGTCCCAACAATTCGAGGAGCTTTGGGCCTCCTTTAATGACTATTGATAATTCTCTGAATCTGCCTAAACTTGCGCCTCTCTTTTATACAGATCCTTTAACTGAATTATTTCCTCTCTAACTAATTGATTCTTCACATGCCGCAAGCCTTAAACCATCCTCGACTAACGCATGCACTCTTACACCTTTTTACCCTTATGCTCTTTGTATTCGTACACCTTCATGATGGGAAGTCTATCATGAAGGTGATAAGAATACACACTTTCATCGTTCTGGACAGATAATAAATTTCAAAACATGCATAGAAGAACTAATGCAATCACAATAACTCCAGCAAGTGTTGCACTGATCATGGAGATTAGAAATTCCGTGAAAGACATTTTACTTTCTAAAGCTATCACCAAATTTTGGGGGCAGTAGCTGAAGATCCTATGTTAGCACTTGAGGCAAGAGCAAGTAAGAAGGGGAGGGGTGGGAGATTATTCTCTTGTGCAACATTTAAAACAATCTTTGTCAAAGCTACACAAGTTGTATCATTCGTGAAGAAAGCACTAGTAATGGCAGAAATTAAGCATATTCTACAAATTAGGTCCTTTGTTCCGTTGATCTTCCATGTTAGCACCTTTCTCAAGTGTTAAATGCATCAGCTCTTTCACGATATATACTCAAAACCATGGTGCCGAAGAGAAGAGCAAGGATTGAAATATGAAGCGATTCGTACGCTTGTTTCGGGGACACGATTTGAAAAATTACCATAAGTGCAGCACCAAGAAGAGACCCTGCAGTTCTCTCAATTGGTAGAAATGGAACGGCGGGAAAAACTGCCAGTAACCAGAATATTGTGAAGGCAAGTAAGCCTAGAATATCTACCATGGTAGAAGAAGATGCCATATTTGTTACTAAATAAGCTTAAAACTTCATCCTGATACAATATAAAAATAGAGAACCTGGACATGGAAAAATATCAGAGCGATTAGCCTTTTTACAATGCCAGTTCTTCCATTACATTAGTAGTATAATCCAAACAAGCCAGAATACAGAAACTTCATAAGATTCTTTGCAATCAAATAACGCTTAAAGCAGAGAGAAAAAACTCAAAATGGCACATATAATGTGTACCTAATTAAAGCAGTGTCACTGCAAAATGAGCTTGTTTTTGTTTCAAGCGTTGAAGTAAGCGCAACTGTTATTCTGCAGGACTCAAGAAACTTTTTTTTTTTTCAGTACCATATCAGCAAGGGCCTTAGCTGCATGCATTGTGTTCCATAAAAGTTTTGAGTGTTCTTTTATTTGAGTCATTCATTTCTGATTAGAGGTAGTGAAAAGGGGACCTTAGGATCAGGGTTGCATGATATTATGAGGCTCCATTAATACGGGAGCTTCCCTATTTAAGTCGCCATTCTTTCAGGCACAGACTTGTTGGCAGCCCACTGGACCAACTATAAGTCTAAAAATAATGCCAAATGCCTATGTTTTTGTATTGTTCTTTATTTTACTTCTTTTCTTTACTACATCCTTGAGGATTTAATGTTTTTCATGGCTGATAGGTTTTGGAAAACATATGATTTAGGATTTTAATTTAAAGCTGTACCGTAAACCAGCTTTGTTGGAAGAAAAAAAAACTGAATTTTGTTCTTGACAATAGAATATTACAGCAAATTTCGAAGCATAGCAGGAAGACTGCCTCAAGCAAAAAATATTTACAAGAATAGATTCTGCTGAAGGAGATCAGTATCATTTTAACAACATCAAACCAATTGCTGTAACTATCAGGGTTGAGGGCACTCCGAATTTGAGATGATTCCAGAAGGATAAGGTATATGCAAGGTGTGGAGCACGGCGAGCTTGCTCACAGACTATCAAGTTGGCAGCTGATCCAAGTAATGAGAGGTTCCCAGCTACTGTGCTGACCCAAGCTAAAATTAGCCACGACTTCTTCTCATCGGCTGCAGAAATTGTAGCTGCAGATGCTGCTACTCGACCTCCAAGTAGGAGAACTAAGGCGATGGAGAAAATTGTTAGTACAAGCAGCCAGTACAAGTATTAGAAAGTTTACAATAAAAAATCAGTCTTATTTTATAACAATCACGCTAACTTATGAATAAACTGGATTTGCAGGAGATATCATGTAATGCTGTAGATATATGCATATAAAATGGCATATAAGACCATCTAAGCAATGTTTCAGCAAAATTCTTTGAATGTGACAATGGTGAAAGAACAGAAGAAACACTACGCTCAATTTCTGTCTTTAACTAGTTGTTAGTATCCCACAAATCATGAAACCATATTGTTGACAGTTCACTGGGGGAGAGTTGTAAGATCAAATCCCAGTAGGACTTCCTTGGAGGAATTTTAGCTCCTACCAACAAAAAAAGTAATCACTTTCTTTTATAAAGTACACCTTTTAGCTCCCATTAGCACCATACTTTCTCTAGACATATCTGTTACGAATCACTTAACCCAAAAGCTTAAATTGATAGGTAAGATCCAAGAATAGTATTATGCTCCTGCATGTCTTCTCAGTTCTCATGCACAAAGGCCAGTTGTCATATGGATCAAGCCCAAACACAAGCAAATGGAGCCCCAGAATAGCATTGAAACTCTTAAAAATATCAGAGGCCTAGTTTAGCAGTTAGCACCTGTTATGCATATTCAACAACTCTGATAAATGCCCAAAAATTAATTATCAAGAAAGAAAGATATTTTCTTATCCTTATCATGTTATATTTACTAGTTTAAATAAGATTCAAGATTTTAACAAAAGAGGAAATAGAATAGGATTATGATTTCCTATTTATGGACTATTGTAGGCTAATGGGCCAGAACCTGGTTTAGCTTAACTTGTAAGATAGTCCAACTCATAGAATGAGCAATCCACAAGGTGATTTTAAGCGTAGGCTCAATCAAGATTGGACTGAGGCTTTGGGCCGTGATATGTTTATTTCGTTATTGGGCCTCATCAAGCCCAAGACGATTTTTGACCTTAACACTTTTCTCCCAAATTTAGGAATGGGATTCCCCCAAAATATAGCCCAAGTAAGCGGTGGAATGGGGAAACCCCCATCGATTCCACCCGTCTAAGAAGCAAAGTAAACACCCCCCCTTAGAGCTGATCCATCATAAAGGTAACCAAATGTTAAAATACTTATATGTTTTATTGGCTTAATGTTTATGTGATTCTGTAACCTCCCCTAAAATATATATATTTTTTTTTTTGTGTGTGTACAGGATACTTCTTTGGCTATTACCATCACATAGTAGGTGCTTATTTTACGTTTGTAAACCCTCCCCGACTATGTCAAGATGTGAAACCACAATTGATTTTTGTATTCTGCATGTGTCAATTGTGCCCTGGGTCCTGCACTAGTCAGGATTTCTTTTAAGAATCTTAACCAACAATGATTAAGGGTCTCAACTTTGTCAAGTAGAATGCAGCAATTTTTTTAAAAGGAATCTGAGACACATTTGTGGAAGAAGAAAGATCAACATACCAGTTGGTACATTGGATGCCACATTTGACAGGACAAGAATGACAACAGCAAGAACTGCTGTCCCACTAACGTGATCAATCTGTGCATAGGGCTCCATGAAATCCCAAAGAGTGCTTGGAATTCCAGTTTTGTTAAAGCCATCAACAGTGATAAACATTCCACAGAAGAAAATTAAAAGCGAATAAGACACCTGGTCAAAAGAAGATAAAGTTAACTTAGATTTATATACATGTTTCAACTAGCAATCAACATTCATGATCTACCAAGTAATATGTTTTCAATTCACCGATTTCCTTTAGTACAAAAAGAAATTACTGAAGCAAGAAGCATCCTTGTTGCAGATTTTACCTTTTCCAGGCTTGGTCGAGCATCTTTGAAATCGAGAACCACAAGAGCAAGTGCAGCAGTAATTGCAGTCCAGGACATGTTGAGACCCATAAGCAGAGAAATTAACATTCCTACAGTAACAAGGTAAACACATGATTTCCACAATATTTTTTTCCACCTTGTGGCCAAATTTTCCTTTCCGTCTAAGATCTGCTGTGAAAGAACATTGCTCAATCTAATTGTTGAGGCAACCCCCTTTGGAGAGAAAGCTTCCTCCCTTCTCTGAGAAGATCCATCCCTTAACACCTCTTTGGATTCATTTGAATTTCCTGGTGTTCCGATTGCACCACTATGTACCCTGTGGATTTCATTCTCAATAGAACCAGCTCGATTTCTAAGAGTATCAACATGACCTATATTGCCATTCACATTCGGAGAACTTTGGAAATTAATAGATTCCGCTCTAGAGTTCCGTTCCTGGGAATTTAAGGATGTCTCATGTGACATAGTGGCTGGTGAAAACCGATGAGAAGTCACATCCTCTTCTGCTACAACATCAGCAGTTGCATCTTCTTCATCCTTCTGAGAGGATAACAACTTCCAGTACATGAGAAGAATAATTACAGCATTCACAAAAACTCCCATAAGCATTGCAGGGAGGATTCCAATTAGAAACTTTCCAAAACTAATCTTGCTCTGAACAGCTATAACCAAGTTTTGAGGGTTACCAATGGGAGTTGCTGAAGAACCAATGTTAGCACTTGATGCAAGAGCAATTAGGAATGGATGTGGAGGGAGATTATGTTGCCGAGCAATTTTCAATACAAACTCAGTCAAGACCACACAAGAGGTATCATTGGTGAAAAGAGCACTTGAAATGGCTGAAATCAAGCAGATTCGACAAATTAAGTCCTTCGGTCCTTTGCTTTTCCAGGAGAGCAACTTACCCAAGTATTTGAACATATCTGCTCTTTCCAGATACACACTCACAACCATTGTCCCAAAGAGAAGACCAAGTATGGGAAGATCAATTGCAGCATAGGCTTGATCAGGTGTTGTGACTTGGAATAAGACCATAAGCATGGCGCCTAAGAGGGATCCTGCAGTTCTCCCTATGGGTAGAAAAGGGACAGCTGGGAAAACCGCCAACACCCAAAAGATTGCGAAGGCAATTGAGCCCAGAATCACCTTTACTAGAGATGCCATTGCCATTTTCAATCTCAGATAAGCTTTACAATCTTACTCTTACACCAAAATCCAAAGACTCAAATGTTAATCTTTACATGAACTCCTTGGCTTGTACCATCACCGTTTCTTGCCAAAAAAGAAATGCAAAGCATGAACCGATGTGTGATATCATTTTTCTATGAAAATTTGATCTTCGTACTCTGCCACACAGTCAAATTTCAACGCAATGAAACAGCATGAATCAATAGAAGATAAAATGAGCAGTCAAACAAAAACAACTAAAATCTATATTCAAAAGTTAGCAGTAATGTTGAATCATAACAAGTAGAGTGATAAAAACAAAAAGGGGTCTTATCTGAATCAAATTCAATACACAAGCAGCAAAAGCACAGACACAAAAGTGAAGTCTCACCCGTAAGCAAAGATGAAAAGGGTCTTATCCGTACTTTTGATTGGAAAGCTTAATCGTTGAGATTAGTAATTGTAACGAATAGATTAAATTGAGGAACCTTTTTAATGGAATGGTTTTACAGAAAAAGGGTCAACGAGTGGAGGCGGAGCTTAGCGTTGGCATCCGCAATAAATTTTTGATTGCATGTCATCATCACACGATGCTTCTAATCTGACGAGCTTGCACTTTGCTATAATTCAAACTCCACAGTTAAAGCTTAACTTTAGATTATGTCACACAACAGCCATCCAAAGATGAAAGATTAAACAATCGAACAATCCCAGGAAAGGTTAAGATTGGCAATTTTTTAATATAATCTTTTAATGGGTCCTGTGAAAGTGATTATCGGATTCGGTTAATTATTCATAGCGTCAAGCAAAAACGACAAAATAACACTTTGAATAATTTCGTAAATTAATTATATCTTAAGAACTTTGATGACGTTATTTACCGACCACCTTAGTTTATAATAATGTTAATTAATTTGCTCTTTTAAGTTTAATATATCTCATTAAACTTCATATATTTCAGTGAAAATGACAATTTCCCAGTGATGTTTTCCTCAGAAAATGGCTGAGACGTGGAGATCTAGTTAATCCAATCATGTCGCCAAAATGTAATCTGGTGATCTGATTACCAATATTCATATACAATAAGCAACAGTAGAATTGTTTTAATAATCTTCGATAAGATATCAAAAAATATTTTAAGAACTTCAATGACGATAATTATATTCTAAAATACCTTCAAAATTAAAGTTAACTGTTGTTTTTCACCCAAATAATGTCTTACAATGACATTTTTCTACTCACAGGCTTTTAAAATATTACTTTATTATCTAAATTTATATTCTATTTCTGATTTCAGCATTATTACGATTCCATATCACTATTATTCTTTTCCCGAATCATCAGTCACTAAAACCTTTCAAACCCTACTCCCATCAACCCTGATAATCGTCGATAATCGAGCGATTATGATTTACACGGTCACTCATATCAAATTAAATTTCTATCAATTTAAATCACCAAAATTTAATCGTCCATCACTAAAAGACTCATCAACCTCCTCTTTTCAGTACTTCGTTGCTTCCATCGGCATTGTGTTATCAAAATTAATATCTTGAATAAAATAAAGTTTTCATTTGCTAAGAAATTATGCATAGAATTCAAGGTTGCCCAAATGATTTTATTACTTAAAAAGTTAAAACTAAGATTAAAATAATACTTGGACCATTGCTTGTTTATATGTGGCTGAAAACTAATAATGCTAATTCCCAACTGGGCAATTGTTTGTGGCCAGAAGTATTGAATTAGTAAATTCTCTCACTTTAATTATAAAAAATATTAGTAAGCCAATCAGCACATGCATGTCCTACTTTAATTATAACAAAGTGTTTTTATGAAACATTTAATGTATATTTTTTAATTAATTGTTATATCCTACTTTGTTAACGGATGAGCTTAAAATTTAGTTTATAAGAATTGAATCTCATAACAAAGTAAAATGTGTTTGAGGTGAATGGCATTTGTGTAAAACCAAAAATCAAAACACATCCCATATAATCTGAACAAAATTTCTACGGAAAGACTTCAAAGAAACTTCACAAAGAAGCCATGCATTTATGTCAATTTTGTAAGATCTTGTCGTTTGTGAATGAGAGCCCATTCTTGTTTTTCCACAGCCTATTCCTTCTTTTGTGTCTCTTTCTTTTAGGTGTAAAAGTAGGGAGGAAAAGGACTTGGGTTTGGATGTTACCTAACAAACATTACATTTGCTTATCTTAGACAGCATTTCAATTGCTGGCATGAAATTATGATCTGCTACACTAGTTTTTGTTGGTGTTATTGATGATCTATGTCCTACACATTAAAAATCCATACCAAATTTATCAACCCCTCAATGCAGTAATTGGACCACCCAACTACTGTTCCAGTGTTGGCTTCTCTTGAATTTTTCACTTTCACCTGCAAAGTTATCACATTTTGTAGAGGAAAACGAAAAGACCATAAACTCATGCTTACACACAAGAAATGAAATGAGCTCTTTATGATGTCTAAGCTTATTGAATACCCTCCAACAAGACGATACTGAACGTGCTATATGCTAGTCTACAATATTGTTAGAAATTTCAGCATGTACTCATATGAGCTGAGACAATATACGCAGGGCGGTTGCCCAACAAGTTGGGATGTAACTGGATTAGATTTGCAATGGCAACTTTTGGCATAAGTTTGCAGCTTGCAATGGATTATTCAAAACGCGGAATTACAGCATCCAACAGGCAAATAGATTGATAATGGAGGATGATACTGAATGGGAACCCCAAGTGCAAAAGCATATCTAATGCAAGCTCCTACCTATATGTGAATTGCATGGAGTACAAGACCATGACCATCAAACATATGAACAGGATTCTTAAAGCAGAAAAATAATATTTCTCATTATTACACATGACAGGAAAAAAAATATTCCTTAATTCAACACCTATATGCGGATGCAATTTTTTTTTTTTTTTTTTTTTTTTTTGGTATAACATCAGGTAAAGAAATATTAAAAAGAATGCTCTAACAAAACCCACACTAACCATCCCTACAAACTACCTTTCTCTATGCATAAGGGATTAGACACAGTCCTCTCAACTCTGCAGTAGATCATAACACCTGCCAAGCTGTATAAAAAAGATGGCATAACCTTCAGAGTTACATCCATTAGGCTAGCTGCTTTTAGCACTGAAATATATATTTTATAGTCCAAGCTTAGAGGTGAAGTCATTTAGCAGAATTTAACTTTCAGCTGACCTCTGATTGGAGCACTGGGAAGAAAGTCCAGTTGTTGGAAGGTCTAGCTTCCTTTCCAACAACCTTCTCATTGGCCCACCACTCAGAGCTGATTGCGGGCTTATCGGAGACTTCTCCTTCAGTGTTGTCAAAGTTGAACTCTTTGATTGACCCAAGAGTGATCGATCGATGCTTTCGATAAAAATGCTCCTCTTCCACTTCTCCCAAAGTTTTTTCAGGCATTTCATTGGAAGTATCTGTAGTATACAACTCAAAACGATCTTCACTATCTGTTAATTTCCCTTTTCTTTGTATTTGGCCCTCTGCCACTGTGTCCTTAGGACACTCTGCTATAATTCTTGGTGATGAAACTGATTTATTAGCAAGACAACGCGCAACTTCTTCACCACTAAGCTCAAATGATACTCTGTGATCAATTATATGTTCTTCGTTTTTAAATTTATTCTCCGACTTGGCACTTGATGCTACCTCAGAAATCTGGTTCTCCCGAAGAAATCCATCCCGGGAGGCAGGCCCCACACCATCAGGTGTCAAAGATCCTGAACCCAGCCTTGAACCAAGCCCCACGCCATCAGGAGTCAAAGATCCTGAACCCATCCTTGAACCAAGCCCTACACCATCCGGAGTTAGAGATCCTGAACCTAGCCTTGAACCCCATTTCCGAGTAGTAAAATGTTCGAAGCCCAAGAGCTTGGGAGCTTCCCCCATACAGAACTCAAGAATAGGAAGTCTATCTGGGAAAGGAGAAGAAGTTCCAGAATTAGAGATTGCTGAGCCTGGGGATATGAGTTGACCACCTGGGCTTCCTGGGTACAGCTGATATGACTGAAATCCGTAATGAGATAATGAAAATTTCTGATTGGTCCCACTGTTTCTTCGAGCACGTTCCAGTGAAGATGTCAACAATTCAGCAAATGGCACTTCAGGGGATGAAGGTGTTGTCAGTTGAACAGATTCGGGCGGGGGAGTGCACAGAGCAGTAGATGGTTCAGTAGTGAAGGCCGAAAATACAGGAGGTGTGACTAGCTGGGTTTCATGTGCATAAGGGCCTATGGCAAAAATGGATCTAGGTCCACCAGGAGAGTAGGCATTGATGGAGAAGGAAGTAAGGGACAGCAATCCAGCAGGTGACTGGGTGGCAGATGGAGGATCAGATTGAAGGAAAGATGCGGGCGAAGAGGGAGGAGCAATAAAGGGAAGCACAATAGCAGTTGAGTGGGTCAGATTTTCCGCGACTGGGGCTGCAGCTCCTGTTACAACTGGTTCAGGAACAAGGACAGCATGGCTAATTCGCTTGCTACTTTTATGATATCCAAAACACCAGTAAAGGCTCCAGCAGCTTCCCCATCTTCTTTTCTGTAGTCAAATAGATAATGATTCAGAATGAGCAGTTCAAAGAGAATTAGAATCGGTTTCAATTTCATCATCTGTCATTTCAAGTGAAACGATTGAGCAAGTATAGCAACATTAATTCATAATTTCAGTTCTGAAATCCAAAATAAGATCAGTCAATAAAGAGTAAACTGATAGATTTCCACTAACATATAGTGTCATCAAGAACTTTAACAAGACACATATAATGGCAATGGAATACAACTTCAGCTCAAAATAAGATTTTCCAATCTAAAGGCCATTATATACTCCACTTCCCACATAGCTCATGAACATCTCTAAGGTGCAATAACCATAGTCCACAAACAATAAGAGTGAGACTTCTCCACTAGTAAAGCACATTTAAATTGCATCATTGTGCTCCAGAAACTCTCTCTCTTTCTTTGATCACTGGTAGTTTTAGATTGAAGCACCATAGATTCAACTCTTACCATTATAAACACAGATATAGCATTAATTTTAACCTCTATTATGACTGCAATTAACATTCAATAAGTACATGAAAAGAAAACTAGAATTCCACCTCTTAACCTAGCAAATACTGTCGCCCCAAATGCAAGGTGAAAGAGCAAATTTAGGATGCAACTCCAAGAAGCATAAATTTTGGTTAACTTTTAGAATTTTCCCATCAATTTCCGCTATAATGTATTCATCACTAATTATAAACTACTATATTCCTAACATCGCATAACTAACCACGCAGGATCCAAACCCTTAACAGTTTCTCGGCCCTGAAGAGGCCTTCACAACCCATCTACAGTCCAATAAAGCTAAGCAAAGTTTTGTGATTCCACAGAATATTGCAACATAGCTTCCATAATATCGAAGAAATTTTCAAAAAGACTGATAACAAAATACCCCAACTTTTTTTTACCTCTAAACCAAAGTTTGTCAACATGGTAGAATAATTCACTGAAAATTCATAGTCCCTGTTAGTAGGTGTTTCAATATATTATAACTATCAACAGTAATCACGGCCAAGAATTTTTTTAAGAATAAAGAAATTAAAACAAAATCAAATATTCAAACCACTGCACGAAGACTCGGCTTTTACTTTCCACCAAGAAAGTGCCTTAAAGAAAAGGTAACTAAATGAATAATCTTTGATCTTCAAACATCCAAGCCTGAGAGTAAAACAAACTAAATAAACTTTCAACACTCAAAAAACCAAAAATCCAGATAAGATCCCAACATCCTATTTCCCTTAATTTTCCCACAGTTTCTCAGCTACCAAACAAGAAAATCAAACTACTCAAAAGAAAAACCAAAAAAAGAAAAAAAAATTTAAATTCAAACAAACCATCAAGACTTTGACTTCCTCTTAACAAAAGTTATATATGCACCTGGACGGCGGTGGGCTGGAGACGAGACTCAGCTGAAACTATGGCGGTTGCGGCGGCGTTAACGGTGTCGACACTGTTGTTGTTTACACTACTCATCTTTGATTTCGAAACATGAAACGAAGTTGTGATAACATCTACGTTTCGATTTCGATCTCAAAATGGATGATAAACAAACAAGCAAGCAAAGCAAGCGTTTCTGCAAGAGAGAGAATTAATTTAATTTAACAAAGTTGCGAGTTATAATAATTAATAATAAATATATATTATTATTATTATATGAAAAATGAATCAAGTTGAAGAAGATATACAAAACAAATACAACGTAGATCAACTCTCTTCGGGTTCAGTTTCTCTCCAGTCGTTATCCTCCAGTTTTCATCCATTTTGCACTTACGTTTTTGACACGTCAGCTGACTGGATGGTATGGACCCACCGTTACAATCGGTTTCTATTTGTTTGCTCAACTCCCATTGCTTTAATAATTCAACTTCTTTCTCTTTTTTCCTTTTTTTTTTTTCTTTTCAATATATAAATTACTTAGTATTCAAAAAATTAAAATTTTACAATAAGGTAGATAATTATGAATTAATTAATAGAAAAAAATAAAAAATAAAAAAGTATAGGTTAAAGATGTATGGAATGATGATATAAACTTTAACACGTCTTGTGTGATTTTGTAATTATTATGTAAATGTAAAGTCAATCATATAATAAACAAAGATTAGTAAATAATAAGATCCACAAGAGTTTCACTGAAAAAGGGAGAAAAAAAGATTAGAAGAAGATCAAGATTTAGATAACGCTCCTTTGATTACGATAGAAAGTAATTGACGCATTTGTCCTAGAGTTTAACCCGGATTCACAATCTTGCCATCATCATCGCCTTGCAATTATGGCAGAAACCAAACAAGCGTGAGGTGAGATCCTCGTGAGTTATAGTGTTGTAATGTAATGTTTATCATGTGACACTGTTTGCATTGTCCCTTGTACGCGTGACTCTCGTGACTCTCTCTCTCTCTGTGCTCACCCTCACGATACCATTCCTGGCCAGCCACAACTCAATTTTCATCACAGCCATTTTCCACCCTTGATTGTGCAGACTCTAAATAAGACTTCAAATACACCTATAATTATCTTTAATATAAATTAATTCAATTTTATTTATATATTTTGGCACCTATATAATTCTCAATCTAAGAGATTTTTGGATTATGAAAAAAGATTAATTAATTTTGGGAAAATGGGGAAAGGTCATTGATTAGTTTTGTAAGAGTGTGCACGTGTGAGTGTGAGATGAAGAAAGTGACATTCTCTCCTTTAATGGTTTGTTAGTTTAGTTAAGTTGAAGATTGCAGGGGACGTGGTTGTTTCTCTTTTCTCATAAAATTTATCTTATTTTTTAACTCCACGAAAATGATATCTATTTTAAAAGGACCTTTTAACCTTTTCCTGTCCTGTCCCCTCATTATTCTTACCTTTTTAACCTTTTATGTATCTTCCATCAAATTAAATAAAAAGATAAATTAAATTATTACTTTTTCCTTTTTAAAGTGCTTTTTTTTTTTTTTAATTAATATGTGTAATTTGCAAAATAAGTGTGAAAAGTAAGAGCCTTTTTGTTGTCTTTTTCCACCTTTACTTTATATTGTTATAACAATTATATGCACTAATTCAGTGATGATACTTCAATTAAGTTTTCTTCACGCATACTTTTTAATATATATATATATATATATCATGCGCACGAAATTCAGAGCGGATAAATTCCTTTTGGCATACAGATATCTCGCGATGTGGATTCCATGATTAAGGCTAAAGGTCGTCCTCCTCCATGATTTATCAAATTTGAGTTCATCTCCAACTTAACTATGTAATTAGCACTATATAAATCCAGTTGTAATTTGTTTATAAGTACGAGAAAAATAAGCCTTAGAAAAATAAACTACAAACTCCTGGTAAATCAAATTACTATTTCAGCACATTCAATAATATAATGGTAGACGTAAGTCTTGCAATGAGCAACCGAACCACTTAAAAAAATATATTTGTTCCTTTGTGTTGTATATCAATCCTTACACATTCATCATCGTATCATTATATTATTGATCCATGGTGGTCATAAACACATCTTACGTAGTTCTAACGTTGTCAATTACGTACCTCTGATTGGTACAAATTTATATATCAACATATATATTTAGCTTTAATTTAGAGAGTTTATTACAATTTCCTCCTTAGAATCAGTAAATAATAATTTACCCTCAATCGTGTTAGTATTCCATTAGGATTTAACTGTTTAATTTTACAGATTAAGTGAGTAAATGGTTATTTGACATATTTGAAAGGGGAATTTATTATTTTATAATAACTCATGAAAAAAATGTAAAAAACAATAAATTAAAAAATCAATATAAATGATTTCATATCTTTCATAAGATTTTGATCATATGTGATAAAGTTGAAGGTTATGATGATTAGTTTTCTAGATTCACCCGTGTAACCAATGAAAAGTCTTAAAGTGTAGAAAAATGATATAACTTTGTTGAGTTGAGGGACTTTTATAAATGGGTCCACCAAGTCGTGGATATTTCTTAAACTGGCCTCTTATGGGGTGGCTTAGTGTTGTTTTGGCCCTACCAGCCTAAAGCTTAACCAGCACACCACATGTTTTGTTTATCAAGTAGGTGGGGGATTCATCTCCTACTTCTATTTATACATTCAATTTTTTTAATTTCTTATTTTGTCAAATTATATTTATTTTACAACACTGTATTTAATTTGAGTTTAATATTGTGATATATGGATTTTATATGAGCTAATTTTGTCTGGAAAATTTTGAATGAAGATACTCGACAAACTATTTTATGGGTTTGGATTTATATAGTCAAGATACCAATCTTAATTTCAAAAAATGTAAATATTTTATTAAAGGACGAATTTAATCGTAAAATAAAGTAACTTATCAATTATATTATTAATGAAATAGCATATGATATGTTCTCTAATATATAATGGAGTAAACAACTTTTTCCCACCCAAAGTTTTGAGTTAATGACACTTTTCCATCAAAAAAGTTTCAAAATACTACTTTTTTACCCAACGTTTATATTTCGTTAATTCCCAAAATACACTTTACTTTCGCAGCCGGCATTCGATGAGTTACCGAAAGTCAGGGTAAAAAGATTTTTATAGAGTGGAGCTTGGTGATTGAATGGTGATGACCGATTGAATATTCGTTGTCGGAATCAGTCAAAAATGAACTAAAAACAAGAAACCCTAGCTTTGCAGTGGCCAACAATCGTCAAGAAATCAGGTGTTGGAGTGAGAGAGATTTTGCAAAGAGGAGACCGAAGATTCAAATGATGGTAACGGAGATAATTTTCGTTATAAGAATCGGCTTTAGATAGTAACAAAATATTAACTTTGAGTAGAAAAGTGGTATTTTGAAACTTTTTTTGATGGGAATGTGTCATTAAGGAAAGCCTTAGGTGGGAAAAAATGGTATACTCTATATAAGGCTAAACTAGGTTAGACTACTAGTAGTCTAAAACATTCCAACTATTTTTGTCATCGTTACTTTTCATCAAACGAAATTAAGTTACCTTACATGATTTTATGGTTATTTTAGTTTTTTAAACATAAAATTTCCCAGTTGGGGAACTAAAATTAATAATATGACTATACAGGAGAATCAGTCTTATTTTATTTAAGGCAATGTTGAAAAATTATCACATGTATGATTAAGTGTGTGTTTGGACTTGATGTAGCTTAAGAAAAATATAAATAATTTTTTAAGTTACAACAATAAAGGTGTTAGGTAAACAACTTTTAAAATAGATTAAGTTTAAAGCTAATCATAAAATAATCAGTTTTATAAAAGGATTTTAAAACTTATGCCGAGTAGCTTTTAAAAATCAGATTATTTCTAAAGCTGATTTTACATGTAGATTTACTAATATACTTATACATAATTATTCAAATTGAAAAATAAACTTAAATCATCCTTTAATTCATTAAATAAATTTATAAATTAAATAAATAACTTCCTAATTTTCCACTGGATTCTGACACTTATTTTGGACATAAGAGGTACTGAAGGATTCGGTCGCCTTATGTGACCTAAATTAGTCTCAGAATGTAATGAAATCATTCAGATTCTTGTAGATTAAGAATTGTCGATCCTAATGGGACCGGTTGTGGCTACAAAGAGTCATTGCTTATCGTCGTTGATTGCCAATCAACGATGGTTCGATCGGTGTTGATTAGTAGTTGACCACTGCCGACCAAATTTAATATTTTTAATTAAAATAAATTATTTTATTACATTTTAAATACTTACAAATTTTGTATTACGATAATTTTTGAGAAATAAAATGTCTTTTTTTGGTCATTATACATAAAACAACAATTTCAAAATCTAATTTACCAAACATATAATCATAGATTTTAAAAATCACAGCAATTATAAAAATAACATTTACCAAAAACAGTATAAATTATTTTTAAAGTTGATTATTTCTAAAATTGGGAAAAAAACTAATTAAACTTAAACCTACAACAATCTCAAACTGGCTCTAAATTTAATTAGAAAGTCTCAGTAATGCGATGAGATCGTTCTATGTAAATATTTTATGGTGAGGATGTGGCATGCATGTATTCTTGAATAGCATGACATGTGCATCACGGATTTCATGGTCGCTCTTCACATTTTGCTTTTAATGCAAGAGACAATGCATGGCGGGCCATTGTTTCATTATGAACATTGGTCATGCTGCATTTTGATGAGAGATATATATATATATATATATATATATATATATATAGGAGAGAGAGAGAAGGAGAGAGAGAGAGAGAGAGAGAGAGAGAGGGGTAAACGACATGTTCCCCCAAACATTTAAATGGCAAGTTTTCAATCCTAGTTTTATGTATGTTTGTAATTAAGAACAACTAATACAAAACCGAGATTGGGCCCATGGGCCTTAATATTTTGGGTACATTTCTTTAGAATTGATTTAAAAAGGGATGTGATTTTTAGGCCCATCAAATTGACTACTATCCCCTCATTGTTAAATATATATTTATTATATTTTAAAAAAAATATCCTTAACTTGATTTAATGTTGAAATTAACCCTGCTTAATTAGGTTTAATTAGAATTTTTATTTACATATTTTTTTCCCCGAATTTGATTAAACAATTTTTTTTCTAATTTCAAATTTAATTAGGGTTTTTGTTACACCACTTTTCTCTATTTTTTTTTTTTG